AAAAAAAAAAAAAAAAAAAAAGAAGTCATGTCAGTTGATAACATCAGACAGATCTGTTAGATGACCATTATCAGATGCAGCTGACTCCTCATCCCTAGGACACCCATTTCCTGGTCACTCAACTGCTTCTGATATTTCTTTTCACCTGAAAAAAAATAAGATACAATGTGCAGTGATCTTTTAATCAAAGCACGGCATTACAGAAGACAGAAAGCCTGTTCAACAGTTGAGACAGGGATTTTGGTGATACTGTTGGGCTGCTTAGTTCCTCTGCATAGAGTGAGGAATGGTGGTGGCTGAGACAGGTACCTTTGAAAATATATAAAATTACCTTCAGGCTGTGTGTATAAAGTATATATGAAACATAAATGAATTTTGTTTTAGGCTTAGGTCCCATCCCCAAGATATCTCATTATGTATGTGTAAATTTACATATCCAAAATCTGAAAAAAACCCAAATCCAAAACACTTCTGGTCCCAAGTATTTCAGATAATGCATACCCAACCTATACTACATTTTCAGAGGCATTTCAGGCATAACAAATGCTTTGAGCCTTCTGTTACACCCACACCACATACACCCTGGTTAATCATTATGTTACTGATTCATTAAGATCAGAATCACACCCCATTCCACAAACATTCTGGTTAATCAGTACGTTACTGATTCTTTAAGATCAGAATTAAAGATCAGATCCTATGCTTTTGTTCTGCTGTGTTCAGAACTGTGTGAGTGCATGGTGGTTCTTAGACTTGAAATGGGCAGAATATGACTTGGGAACAAAGCCGAAATACCAGTTTCCACATTGGAGCCAAGTTCTAGAGCAGAACTCCCAGCCAGTGCACTTTGTGTGCTCGCCTCACTCCTGCTTCCACCTTTTCCTTTTGCCTCAGTTTCCTTATGCAATTGCTGCAGGTGACATAGGCAGAGGCCTAAAGAGTCAGTACGGGTTTGAATCCTGGGTCTTTGTCATATTGCATTGGAGATTTTGAGAAGCACACTGCTTATTTTGGCTTTATTTTCTTGATCTGTAGAATAGATCTATGATAATGGTACTTACCTCATAGGCTATTGTTAGAAATAAAAAATACTGTATGTAGACTTAGCACAGTGCCTGGCACATAGTAGGCATTCAATAAATATTAGCTACTAAAATGTCACCATTTGATCTGGTTGTGGTGGCTCTTGCCGGTAATCCTAGCACTCTGGGAGGCCAAGGCAGGTGGACCTCTTGAGCTCAGGAGTTCAAGACCAGCCTGAGCAAGACCCCCATCTTTACTAAAAATAGAAAAATTAGCCAGGCATTATGGTGGGTGCCTGAAGTCCCAGCTTCTTGGGAGACTGAGGTAGGAAGATTGCTTGAACCCAAGAGTTTGAGGTTGCTGTGAGCTATGATGGTGCCACTACCCAGGACAGTAACCATTTGAACTTCTGACGCTTTTTTTTTTTTTAAATAGTCTCACTGTTGCCCTGATAGAGTGCCATGGCATCATCGTAGCTCATAGCAACCTCAAATCTTGTGCGTAAGGAATCCTTTTGCCTCAGCCTCCCAAGTAGCTGGGACTACAGGCACCCGCCACAACGCCTGGCCATTTTTTGGTTGCAGCCATCGTTGTTTGGCGGGCCCCGGGCCAGGGATTCGAACCTGCCACCTTAGGTGTATGTGGCTGGCGCCTTAGCCGCTTGAGCCACAGGCACCGAGCCAGGAAGTGAATTTCTTACCAGTGCATTATTACTCGGACAAAAAGGCATGGATCACTAGAGATCTTTTTTGATTAGTTTCTCAAATATTTTGTACCAGTGTAGCAAGTTCACTGCAAGGAAGCTAGGCTGGATGACAACTATAGATATTGTTATTCCTTGACAATTGTCCTGCTCATGGTCCATCTGAAATTTTTATCAGAAATAGTATTTTGCTGCCAAGATATGGTGGCTCATACCTATAATCCAAGTACTCTGGGAGGCCAGGGCAGGATTATTTGAGGTCAGTAGTTTGAGACCAGCCTGAGCAAAAGCAAGACTCCTGTCTCTACTAAAAATAGAAAAAGCTAGGAGTTGTGGCAGGTGCCTGTCATCCCAGCTACTCAGGAGTTTGAGGTTGCTATAAACTAGAGTAGGCCATTCGACTCTAGTCCAGGAGACAGAGCAGACTCTGAAATAATAAAAAATAATGTTTTGCCATGTACTTCCCCCAAATGTGACTTTATTAATTCATCCATGTGACCAGGGTATCCTTAGATCAATGAAGATTAAATATAAAAGCACTTCATTGAATAGCACGCTAGCAGCAGTGAACAAGGTGTGGGGTGTGTGAGGTTTTCAAAAGGAGTTTAGCATAAAGGCTTCTGTCATGCATCCTTGGAAAACTGACTGGCACAACCTCTGGCCTGCAATTGTGTTCAGCGTTGATGATGAGCAAGATGGTGACTTTTTTCTCATAGTCAAGTGAGAAAAAAGGACATACATACAAAAGGACATACTTCCTTAAGTATGCAAAACATATACCTTTAGAAGTCCATCAGCAAGTTGAAAGAAGTGAATATCAAAGACGTTTTTAACATCAAAAAAGGTTCCAGTTGTTCATTCACTGATCAAGGGTGA